CAGCCAGGCATGGTAGTGCATGCCTGTAATTCCGGCTACTCGGAAGGCTGAGGTGGAAGGATCACCAAAGCCCAGCAGGTCGAGGCCGCAGTGGCTGGGAGCGGCCACTGCACTCCAGTCTGGGCAACAGAGTGAGACTCCTAGTCAAAAAAAAAAAAAAAAAGAAAAGAAAAGAAAAGGGAGGCCCCCAGGGTTGGGAAGTGGGTGTGCTTGAGGTCACCCAGCAAGACAAACGTCAAAGCAACGTCAAAGCAACATCATCACAAGCCACGAACCAGAGGCCATTTGGGCTCAAGGATGTTTGTGGCTTCAAGGACCAAGCAGCTTTTCTGCTTCCTGAGTTATCAGCCAACTCCCTGCCAGCTCAGTCCCTACCCCAACCCAGCCCAGGAATCTTTCACCTGGAAGGCAGGAGGGCTAGGGAAGGAGGGGCATGCCTGTAAGGAGGTGGCATGCAGGGCAGAGACCTGGTACCCGCTGTGTGTGTCACCCAGCTCCTCCCAGGCTGAATGCCTTCTGCCCCACCCCCAAGAGAGACACAGCTCTGCCCCAGGACACCCGGGTGGTCTCTGCGAACCTGGGGATGAGGCCGGCGACCTCCCAGGACAGGGGCCAGAGAGGAACCGGCCTGGTTCTCTTTGGGCTCAAGCCCTACCTGGAGCCCTCAACTCCTTCCTATCACTCCTCCCCATCGGGACTGCTCACCCAAGGCTCCATCCAGGTTCTGGAAGATACGGCAGCGGTGGTCCAGGGTAATATTGACCCGCTCCTGTGGGAAAGAGGACACCAGGCTACAGCAGGGATAGGCCCTGGCGGAGGCTAGGGCTCCATCACACCCGGGGGGAAGCCTGTCCCTCACCTCCACCTCTTCTCCTATACCCTCTCTGCCTGGTCACATCAGGGCAGCTGGGAGCCCTGAGAAGTCCAGCCAGTAGTTAAGCCCCCAGGACCTACTGGTCTAGTGGGTCTATGTACGGACAGACAGGGAATCTCTGAACTAGAAGGGGTCTAAGAAACAGCTCATTCAACTACAACAATGACAATGAGAATAGTAACAAACACTTGTTTAGCAATTGACCACATGCCTATCACTATTTCAGTATTTTTTTTTTTTTAGTCAGTCAAACTCTGTCCCCTAGGCTGGAGTGCAGCGACATGTTCATGGTCACCGCAGCCTCGACTTGCTGGGCTCAGGTGATCCTTCTGCCTCAGTCTTCCAAGTAGCTGGAACTACAGGCACGTGCCATGTCTGGTTAACTTTCTTTTTTTTTTATTGTAGATATGAGATCTCACCAAGTTGCCCAGGCTGGTCTTGAACCCCTAGGCTCAGACAATCCTCTCGCTTCAGCCTCCCAAAGTACTGGGATTACAGGCATGAGTCACCACACCTTACTATTCTAGTATTCTATATACATATTAATTAATTTAATCCTCACCACATCCCTATGAGAATGTACCATCATACTGCATTTTATTTATTTATTTATTTATTTATTTATTT